GAAATTTGTACAATTTTATGGTATTTAAATATGAATTTGTTAAGTCAATCTTTTTTATATATATTTTTGCTTGAGATATGTAAATTAAACTGAAAATCACGATCATATCTTTCTCATGGAATGTCAAGTTCATTTGTATTAAAAAAAGTGCATGAGCAATGAAAATAAATAGAACAATACTTTTTTATGTATTTTTTACCATGGTCTTAGCAGTTATGCCATCATGTGTTCTGCACAATTCAACAAATTTATTTAGTGCAAACAATACTACGAAAAAATATTGAAAAATACCTTGTTTTACAATATTTATTTCCCTTAGTTAACTTAAAAATATCGTTTTTCATTTTCTAGGCTTCCCTTTACGAAAAGAATTTAATGTTATAATTATTTTCAGATTCGTACGAATTCTATGCATAAAATAAACATTTCTTTAACAAAATACTTATCGGAAAGTATATACCCGGTATTTCCGGTGTATCTACCACATATAAAATGATCATTTTGCTTTAGTTTACATTTTTTCATTACCAAAATCATGTAGCAGACGCGTCGGCCGATGCGTCCTGTCTCCCGGGTGACGTCACTACCAGCAACCAATGGCACGCTTTTTCCGTTCCTGGCCTAACCTTAGTATATTAAAGAACCTTGGTTTGAACCCTCGCCATGCAATTATGACTGGAAGCACTTTTAAATTCCTTACATGACATTATGATGAAATTTCAAGAAATCATAGCTCCTTTAATAAGGCCCATTAGGAAAACTAATACGTGCATTCAAATTATTTTGGTAGGGGTACAATATAAGGCCTCAATCTTTAAATTAATTAAGCTCATAAGCTCATAACATTTGCGGTTTTGCAGCTGAAGATGATGGTTCGGTAAAACCATCGAAACTAGTCCTGTGAAAATTTTGTGAATATAACGCTGATTTTTGTTGTTTGACTTCTGAACTCATAAGTTCTCTTTTTAAAGAGCATTACGAAATACAGATTCTTCAAATAAAACTAAAATTACTTTTTATTGTTTATTTGCATGGTCTCCAGATATCAGACAATCAGATTTTTGATATACTGCACTTATAAACAGGATTAAAAAACTCCATTAGCATAAATTATTATGAAATACCATATACTTTCAAATATATAAGTTGAGAATTTTGGGGGGGGGGCGCTGAAGTTTGGGATTTGATCTATATGCAGTGGCACCCAAAAGTGTTCGTACACTTATGATTTTCATTGAAAAAGGGCTCTATCCATTAATTAAAAGTAAACTTTCTGAATGAGATTTTAATAATAAGATTTATAATCTATTTGTAACAAAATTACACGAAATATTTTTAAAATATAGCGAAACTTTATTTTTAAAAAAATTAATAATCAAAAAATGACAAACATTTTATGTCACAAAAGTCTTCGTACACTGAAATATTTTTGGATAAAATCAAAATTAGAATTATCGTCTGCCGCTTTTTTTACTTTTTGAATTTTTGATTTGGCATTTAAAAAATCATTTGCTTTAATTTTTTATTGTTTACTTTAGAATATTCTATTTATTATTGAAAAATGGGTCGCAATCGTAAAGAAATTACAAACAGCATTGAAAAATTGATAATTTTTCAACATATTAGTGGTAATTCGAAATATCGCTAAATTAGTTCATTTATCCCATTCCACAGTGCAGCTTGTGATAAAACGTTTTAAAGAAGAAAATCGTATTGAAAACAAGTTAAGAAAAGGTCGACCGAGAAAGTTAACTAAACTTGATGAGAGATTCATTACACTCAAAAGTCGTTAATTCGGACTCGTCGGAACTTCGGCGATTCCGGATTATCGATTTTTCCGGATTATAGATCATCAGTTTAAATCTCGTAAGATGGCATGCAGAAATTCTAAAATTAAAAATATGAAACCTTAATTTATGAAATAAAGAACAATTATAATCTAAAGGGTATCAAAATTTACAAAAAAAAAAGCTTAATATTTATTTGTTTACTTTATTAAACATTTCTTTCAATGTAAGTTGTTTTAAGTTGCTTTGTTTTATGTGATAATACCTTCTCTTTAATTCTATAAACGGACACAATTTCTTGTTCAGTTACAAAGTTCCACTGTTCAAGTCCCGTTAATTGTTGTGCTGAGAATAACGACTAACTTGTCAGTCAAAATTTTTTCGTTTTCACTAACCTCTCTGTCACATTCTTTCACGTGAAATTGATGAACAGATTTCAGAATGGTTAGAGAAACAAAGCATATGTCTTTATCCATTTTTTGCAGCAATTCCACTTTTTGTTTGATGGACATTGAAACATACTTTCGTTTTGTACGATCCTTTGGGAGCTCCAAAATCAGAAATTTTATTTGACATAATCGAAAGTTCAAGTTTACTTTTATAAAATTGCTATTACAGTCTGCAAAAAATAATAAGCCGGGTCCAATTCGAAGATTAAGGAACAAGGCAATCATCAACATTAACTGAAATACATAATTAGATAATTTTAGATTATACCGTCCGTTATACATAAAACGCGCACGCGAAAACATATTCTGCGCTTGCGCACACGCATATGCGCAGTGGTAAAAGGTCTTACACGCACGCGTAAACGCCTATGCGCATGTGTCAACGCGGCGCATGCGCAGAAAGTTTTTAGCTTTGGGGTCCGGATTATGGGTGTCCGAATTAACGACTTTTGACTGTATTAGAAAATTTGTGAAAAACTCACGTTTGAGTGCTGTAAAAGTTTCTGCAGAATTTAATGCAAAATTTTCTACTTCAATTTCACCTTAAACTGTTCAACGAGTTCTCAGAGAAGCTGGATTACATGGGCGTTCTGCCCGTAAAAAATTGTTTGTTAGTGAGAAAAACAGAAAGCTTAGGCTTTCATTCGCAAAATCAACGATAAATACACCCAAAACGTACTGGAATAATGCCCTATTTGCTAACTAAAGCAAATTTAACAATTTTTGGAAATGAGGAAAAATGAGGAACTTCATTCTAAGAACTTAGTCGGAACAGTTAAGTATGGTGGTGGAGGTGTTCTTGTGTGGGGGTGCATGCCAGCATCAGGACTAGTAATTTGGTATTTATTGATGGCATAATAAATCATTCTCTTTATTTAAATATTTTAAGAGACAATTTAAATTATCAGCCCAAAATTTGGGTATTAGAAACAACTTTATTTTAATCATGATAATGATCCTAAGCAAACGGCTCTCAACGTTCGCCTGTGGTGTCTCTATAACTGTCCACAGATTTTGAAAACACCACTTCAGTCGACAGATTTAAACCCCATAGAACACATTTGGGTAAAATCCTAGTATACGGTGCAGCCTTGGCGCGACTTTGAAAATTATCGCCAACACCAAAAATGATCCAAAGAACATCTATATATATATATACTATACACTATATACTATGTGTGTATATACATAGCATATATACTATGTTATGTTTAACTATATATTTTCTTTGTATGACCCGTTAACTACTCATCGCAATGTCCGGTTTTTACTGCTATCATAAAGTCGCCAAAAGTAGCCAAATCCCGTGTGCCCGGATACTAGGATACTAGGTGCACCGGATACTAGGATACTAGTGCACCGGATACTAGGATACTAGGATACTAGGATTAAACATTTGGAAAGAACTGGAGGTTAGAGTAAGAAAACACGATATCAAAACGAAAAGTGAACTCAAAACAGTCATGATGGAAGAATGGATGAACACTGATACAGAAATTACGAAAAAAAAAAACTAGTAAAATCTATTCCCAGACGTTTAAAACTGCTAAAGGATATCCTAATAAATGCTAAAGGATATCCTAATAAATATTAATTTAACGAAAAAGGAAAATATTTACTAATATGTCAAATTTTTTTTAAGTGTACAAAAACTTTTGTAAGATAAAATATTTGTCATTTTTTTATTATTAATTTCTTAAAAATAAAGTTTCGCTATATTTTAAAAATATTTCATGTAATTTGTTATGAATATAGATTTTATTATTAAATCTCATTCAGAAAGTTTACTTTTAATTAATGGATCAACCCTTTATCAATGAAAATCATCCCCCCCCCCCCCACCCCCCCCCCCCCCCACCCCCCCCCCCCCCCCCCATCCCCCCCACCCCCCCCCCCCCCCCCCCCCCCCACCCCCCCCCCCCCCCCCCCCCCACCCCCCCCCCCCCCCACCCCCCCCCCCCCCCCCCCCCCCCCCCCCACCCCCACCTTACCCCCCCCCCCCCCACCTGGGAGCCACTGTACAAGGTCCAAAATGATTTACAAATAATTCAGTTACAAAAGTGAAAGTATTTATGGACCATTAAACGCAATTTTTAGAACTTAAAAACAGTAATTCTTAACTGACTGAAACCAAAAATAAAGAATGATGACTTTGAAACAAGATACATTATTTTCGCATACATAACCATACATGAAAATCAAATCATTACCCTTCAAAACTTCTTTAACATTAATAACCAAAAAATAATGCGCAAGAAATATCAAAACATTTTTTAAAAAAGAAAAAAAAAAAGATTTAAACTGCCAGATTTTTAACAGATACATCTGTTTATAACAAATACAGGAAAGTCTTTTAAACGGAAAATTCACGTGAAAGACAAAACTGTACAAAAAATAAATCTTACAGTAAATAAAATTTATAACGCATATAGTGGCAAATTGCAAAATCGTTTCCTTTTAATATAAAATAATATCCATAAAGAAAGAAAAAAACAGTTACTTCGCAAACAAAACAAAAATTAACAATGCGCTTTCTATATTATTGATCTATATAATGTCCTCTAAAGGTCGATTCCAAACATAAACTACTTAAGCCTAACAGGCCCTCTGGTCAAATGTAAACATGCCAGCATTGAGACAAGATTTTAATATTTATTCTAATCATACAGATTTACTGAATTACGAAGGAATTATCGACTTCAAAAAATAACACATTTTCAAATTCTGAATATATATTACGAAAAGTGATACAAAATATACTCACAATATTTTCACCCAGATGGGTAGATCACTGGGTATGTCAACTAATCCTCGTCTGCCACAGTCAACTAGTTCACCTAGACAAGAACAACTTGACGGGCACTCGATGTTTTTGGTCCGTGGACATTTAATTTCATTGCATGAAGTCTGCGAACAGTCCAGTACCATAATATGTACAGAAATTAGTACCAATACTGTCGTAAATATGAGCAAGAAAGGCGCCATTACGTTGCCACGAACTCGAATGGCAAGTTAAGCCTGATGATCCCAGTTTCGAGTTTAGTAACAGTACAAACGAAAAGGTTTTTGCTCTCTGTTCGATAATTCAGGCATTTTGAATTCTTTAAATGTTTAACAGACCACAGATCAGGGGCCTTTAACCAGTATCCATGATCCATAACATAATATTATGATGCATGTGCCAATATAGACAGCTTCTGTAAACCTCCAACGCACTTCACTAACTCCCACGGATTAATGCTTCCATCATCCATACAGATGCGCAGATCTCAGCGAAGGAAAAAATAAGCATTCTCATTGGATATAGCTTGTCACGTGGCTTGAAGGATCGTCTAGAGAAGAATTCCCTGTAATAGGGAATACTACAATAACTAGGGAATTATTTGATAACTTTAGCTTTCTAATTTCGAAAATTAAATAACATTCTGCAGTTTTTGAAAAACAATGTAGAAATTGAAAAATTTCTAATTGCTTGACAATTTACATATTTATCATTTCAGATTTACACTAATTCATGTAGTTTACAATTCCAATTTCCTACTAAAAAACTGTTAAAGCCTACAAGACCAACTCTCCAGGAAACTTCGTAGTTGAGAAATTCATGCTAGACATGGGAACAAAAATGTGGTGGTGATTGAAAATCCCCTTGTATTTCAGCAGAATAGGGGTTTGAAATAAAAATTCTTGAAGACAAAAGATCCTCAACTTTATACACATGGGCATTGCCTGTCCAACATTTTATTGCTTTATAATAAAACTATGATTCCTATGAACTTTGAAAAGCATCGCCAGATATTGTTGTCGATATATTTGATTTTTTAGGCTCTCCGAGAGACCGATAATTAGGGAAGAGGGAGTACGAGGTCCACGGATTTCATTCGCGGCCAGAATTTGGATAGAGCTCGGGCTTTGCACAAATCTAATAATTGAATTCAATTTAATTCAACGTGTTATTTTAAAACGGCTGAAAGACAAGCAGGTTATTTTACAGATTTTGTTGCATGATTTCTAGTTTTTTTTTTTTTTTTTACAGAAAATGTAAAAATATACAGTATCTAAATATTTAACAATTAATTAAATAGTAAAAGATTCAAATTTTGGAATTTGGAAACCTGATGATTAAGAATGATTATTTTAAGTCAATTTTTTTTTAACTTTGCTTAAAGATTTTTAAGCTCTTATTTATCATACACAAGTGTCAGAAATTTTCTCATTTAATCGTAAATGCGTATGATAATATTTGAATGTACTTTTTTTGAAACAACGTTTACTGTATTTTTGTATTTGTAAGTCGCCCCTTTTTAATTAAATGTCTTATATATATATATATAATTTCGCTACTTTTGAACCGTAATCGGATGTATCTGATATTCATATGCAGACTTTTCTCTTAGGCACTACTTTTTTAATTGTACGCAATTCCAAATATCCGGTACTCAATTACCCAGATCCTTTATTCTTATGTTAAATGCTTAAATATTGCAGATTTTCGTATTTTATGCACATTTATGAATTAAATTAAATTCGATTATTATATTTATGCAAAGCTTAAGTCCCATCCAATTTTCACCGCGAATCCCTCAGTGATGGAATCCGAGGGTCTCGTACTTCTCTTTTTACCATGAGCCTCTCAAAAAGACTGAAAAATCAAATGCATCGCCAGGTATTATTTAGCTTCTTCAGGATTTAGTTACGTATTACTAATGTTTTCATTGATTTAAATAACACGAAAAACCTAAAACAGCATAATACCTACTTTTTTTGCACTGCATTTTTTTTTTTTTTTTTTTTTTTTTTTTTTTTAATTCTTACAACCCCACCAGTGGGCGAATGGTTAAGACCGCTGAATACTGGTAGTTCAACCCGAGTTCGAACCCCGATGTACGGGTTGGCTGCATGGTTGGTTTTTGTGGTTTTTTCTATGTGTGTTCTCAGTGTAAGTATGAGGCAGTGTCTATCAGAAAGTGTTCCACGAAGGCATACTAGTCTTTAAGCCTACGTACGTTTTTCCATATTCATATTCAAATAACCAGTCCATCTTCAACTTCAGTGGACTGCGATATACAAGTATATATTCACTCATCTTCAATGGACTGCGATAAACGCTATGAAATATCGCATGAGAGGGTAGGAACTATCTCAGAGATGGTTCGTAAATTGTTACTTTTAAATAGTTTTCTAAATACTTAGCAGAAACTGACCCCTGCTTCATTTTAAGACCGTTAATTAACAGTTTCATGTGATTCTTCTGTTATCATACCACGCCATTTCCTGATAGGAACATCTTTAAAGGATATTCCAAAATCAGATATGTATGACGATAAGCTGGCTTTTCATAATCGGTGGAAATTAGTCCAGCACATGTGTCAGTCCTTTTAGAAGAACTGATTGCTGGATTATCATAGGATTATCTGACTGGTTAATTACAAGTGAGCACAGACTGGCATCGTGCTTGTGGTAATCAAAGAACGCAGTTTTACTACAAATAAAACATAAAAATATTGACACAGAAATCGTAATGTGAAATTAAACACTTTTATGAACTCAAAAGATTTTAAACCAAACTGTGTATTGCTACCTATGAAAATATAATTTTTTTGAGTAATCAAGGCATGATTTTCAATTTGCATATTTTTCCAATTGTTAGCCCAAAGGGGTAATTTGCCCAGAAGGGCTATTTATTTCGTTTTCGTATTTTGTGTCGTCCACTATAAAATGGAGTTTCACTTTTCAAATTGTTGCCACCAAATATTAAAGCCCTGCATTATATTTAAAGAAATTAAATAAAGAAGAATCTGCATGAATGTATGTATGTTTCTTGCATTGTGAAAAAACAACGGTACGTACAGACATGAAATCTTGAATAACTTAGTCTTCAACTAGACTATGGGAATGTGGAAGCCCAAATTTGAAATTTGGCATTTGTTTTATTATCTATTTGATATTTTGTAAAACTTTAACGAATGTTTGGTTAACAAACTCAATAATTTCAAAGCGGGCAGTGGCAACACTGTGCGAATAAAAAACATTTTATTATCACTAACGCGCGAGACAATGTATCGGAAATTCTAAGAATATATTTAAATATTTTGTGATATTGCTGTTGAATTGCATTTTATGGTTTAAGTGCGAAGAACAGTATATTTAATAAATAAAAGTAACACAGAAAACATTAAAAAAACACCCCTTTCGGCGTATTAGAAAATCTGAAAGATTTCAGATTTTTTTTAATATTTTTTATAGAATGAATAAAATGCTCATTTTCCTATTTTAGTTCTTTACTCCTTTCTTTAAAAATCGGACAATGGGCATTTGAAACTTTTGAAAAATAAATACAGTAATAAAAAGAACTGCGTTTTTTTTTAAATTTAAATTACGGGTTGTTAAACTGTGATTTATAATGAGCGAAATGGAAGGATTTTTTTAAGCAGCTCCGAAATTAATTTTTATGGTGCGCAGGATCAACTTAACTACTTCAGAATGGGACATCAAAAGAATCAATTTTTCATTGTTTGAATAAACCGAATTTTTTTTAATTCAATATATTTCATTCATACGCTTGATTACTATTGATCGAAAATTTATTTGCATTGACTCTTTCATATGTCTATAATTTAATGAGACCTACGGTAAGAAGCATACGGATTCCTTAATTTCTCCCCCATTTTCTTCAGTTGCTTTCAAAAAAAATAATGAAATTCTGTTTTAAAATGTTTAAGTTTATATTTTGTATAGCACATACTCAATTTAAACCCAGATCCGACACTTGGTCTAATTTCTAAGAGTCCTTAAATTCTACTGCTCAGTGCCTCTCTAAATTCTAAATTTTTGCCGCCTCTAAATTCTGCTGTCTACACTAAATTATAAAAATTTTATCATCGCTAAATTTTTCTGTTCGTTGCTTCTCTAAATTCTAAGCATTTTGCCGCCCAAAGGTTCTTTGACTTAGAGGTTCTTTGCCTAAGATGTTCTTCGCCTAAGTTCTGCTATGCGGGACAGCCGCAATGGCTGCAGTGGCTCTGCACTGATCCTACTAAAGTCTAAAAAGAACATGTATGTAAGATACTTCTTTGTTTAAATAACTTTAAATGAGAAATGCGGAATTTTAAGGTTAGTTCTCGAAATGCTTATATAATATATATATATATATATGAACAAGTATTTTAAAGATAAGGTATTTATAAGATAAGGGAAAATGTATGTATGAACAAGCATTTTAAAGATAAAGAACAAGTATCTTGGGGAAAAATGGAATTTTGCCATTTTTTTTTTTTTTTTCAAAGAGTGAAATTAAATACGTTTCACAGATATCTGACTGCTGATAGTTACATTTGGCTTCTCTATTCGCTGCTCAGAAAAGGGATTTCCTGCAGCTACAGTCTATTTCTTTAAAACAGGCACCTTCAAGGCCGTTGCCAACCCTCCTTAGTTGCAATCATACCGCCTAAAACTTATTTCTCCACCTCAGTAGAGATTTTAGTTCATATCAGCCTTCATTTCTTGCTTTTCATGAAGCGAAACACGCTAAACGGAGATGAAGTGGGAAAAAAATTTAGGCGACTGGAACCATCTGCTGCAGCTGTCACTCCTATAATCACGAGCGAATCTGGGCGACGGAAATCCCCCTGAAATTCTTATTTCAAAGTAAAGACTATATAGTATATCGTGTTACTTACTGAGGTGGAGAAATATTTCTCTTCGCTTTATTATCGCTGACAAGATAGAAACACTGTTCCCATTTTATAAAAAAAAGGGGAAAAAAAGAAAAAAAAAGCTTCTGCTCGTCGAGTATTGAACCAAAATACTTGTTTGTTTTAAACCTGTAGATTAAAACGGTGATTAAATTCGCTTTACAAGACAGTCAGCATTATATGAAAAAAATAAAAAAATCGAGTATTTGCATGGTATAAGAAAAACATATGTATACATTTACATATAATAATGAACTTTTAGAACCAATTTTACATATAGCTACTAAGTTGAAAGCCACAGAAAAAAATTATATTGAGAAAAAAAAAAATGTATACGATCGTACCTGCCTCTTTAAGTTCTATATACTATAGTATTATTTATAAACTTAGAAGAACCAAAGCCGTTAGAAAGCTTAAACGTAAGCGAATAAAATAAAAATAAACGGTTTAACATTGCAATTAAAATACCTAATAAATATCTGAAATCATAATTTTATTCAAAAAATGACAAATGCCAGGACCAGGACCAGCC